GATCTGTGTCGCCTGCCCTGCCCCTCTGCCCTGCCCTGGGGCTGCTCCGTGTCTTTCCCCGTCGCTCTGCGGGTAGGCCGGGCCCCCCCCGGGCGTGGGGGTGTGGGTGTAACTCGGGGTGTACGAGCCCTCCCTCCAGCGGCTTTGATACCGGCTCTGCCCTTTGGGAAAGAAAGCCCGGGAGGGAGCACAGGGAGCCCGGCAGGGTGGTTCTTCCTGCCTGCCCCCCCTGCACCGCTTTCCTGGAGCTGCCTGTTTGTTTCAGTGTGAGTTCAGGGGGTGTAAGGAAATTCAGAAGGTGGGGAAGGTCATGGGGAAGTGGGTGAACCTTCTGAACCTCGTGGCATCCCATAAAATAAGTACACTTTGGAATCAATTCGTGTTCAAAGGCAAGATCCTCTTGTTTTCTTCTGGGGTGGGCAGGGAAAGCTGCTCAGGAAGGTGGGTTTTCTTGGTGGAGACTTTGTCTTCTGAGTAACGAATGTTTCGTTTATTTAAGTGTAAGTTCAGGGGGTTGTAAGGAAATTCAGAAGGTGGGGAAGGTCATGGGGAAGTGGGTGAACCTTCTGAACCTTGTGGCATCCCATAAAATAAACACAGTTTGGGATCAATTCATTTCCAAAGGCAAGAGCCTCCTTTTTTCCCTCTCGGGTGGGCAGGGAAAGCTGCTCAGGAAGGTGGATTTTCTTGCTGGAGTTCTTGGTGGAGTTTCTGTTTTAAAAACACTGAAGTTAAGTGAGTTATTGAATGTTAACCATGAAGATGTGAAGTCTCTGCCAGTTCTTTGGGTCACCCAGTTGCTTTTACACCCTAATGTGCTCTCAGCTGTAAAAAAGCTGATGCCCTTGTGTTCCTGAGGTAGCTTGGAATAATTCAGGGTGCTTTTGATGTGTGCACCTGCAGCTTCCCAGGGAGCTCTGAGGTGGAGGGCAGGAGGTGTAACCACTCACACCAGCCCTGGTTTCCCTTCCCTTTCTGCCTCCCAGGCAGATCCAGGGAACTGGGGTTGCTTTTTGGGAAGCTCCTCAGGCCTGGGGAGGTTGGCTGGTGTTTTGAGAGAGGTCAGGGTCCCTCTTTGGCCTGCAGCTGGTGGAAGACAGCCAGGTGGCGCTGGGCAGGATTGTGAGAGGTGCTGGAGTGGCACGTGGAGGCTGCAGCGAGTTTTGGGCAGAAACCTGTGGGTTTCAGGGAGGGCAGGGAGCAGTTCCTGACCTCCCTGCAGAGGCATAAAACATGGTGCTTTGTTCTGTGTCCTCACGGGGCTTCAGTTTCCTGGGTTTCCTCAGTTGTCCTTTAGGAGCTGACAAGGAATATACTTGGAAACATTCATGGAATGAGCCTTGGAATGAGTGGTTTGAGCAGGTGCTGGAATTCTCTCCTAAGGTCTAAGGAGTTGCTGCTCTCCTGGAGGTGCAGATCTCCTTCCTTGCTGAGTCCCTCAGAGCTCCCCTCGTGCCTCTCACACATTATCCATGAGGAAACCTCAGAATTCCCCTTTTCCTTGCCCTGAGTGAGCAAAGCTGCCTGTGTTTCTGCCTTAGGAGGAGGGGCAGGATGGACGTCTTGAGGCCCACCCTGATAAGGATCGGGGGGCGAGTCTACAGGAAGAACCTGGTCCAAGAGCAGACCTACCAGCAGGAGGAGTTCTCTGCAGGTAAGAAGAGCTGCCCCCTGGGCTGTCAGGGCCTGCTGAGGATGAAAGCATCAACAGGGGGGAGCTCTGGGTGGTCCCTCCCATCTCTTTCAGTGCTCAGGGACCCACCCCTGAAGTAGAGTGAGATGTTCAAGAGGGAGAAAAGGGCTTTGTGTAGGTCCTCTGTGGTCACCCTGCAGGTTTGGGTGGCTGTGCTCCTGACTCTTAGTTGGGTTTGCTGGCTGGGAAAGATCTCCAGGAAAGAGGGGGTGCAAAAAAAAAACACAAAAGTGTCTGTTTTCCCCAGGCTCCTGAAGTGCTTTTGGCAACGTGGTTATTTGCAGATACAGGAGTTGGGAGCCACTCATTAAAGAGCCTCTGTCCTTGCAGTGTTTGCCCCCTGAAGAACTGTCCTCTTATAATCCAGCTTTGGGAAGATGTTACCTATTTTAGGGGCAAAAATTCTTCCTGTTCTGACTGTATTTGTATCTGTTCTTGCCTGCACATTTGCTGAAGTTCTGGAGGAGTTGTGGGCATAGCTGGGATTTCTCCAAACAGAAAGGGTTGTGGCTGTCATGTGCTGTGTCTGTGTTCCCTCCTTTGCAGTGGGGTTCAATAAAGCTTTAACAAGCTGCTCACCAGACAAATTCATCCCTCTGGGTGTTGGAGAGGAGATGGAAACCATGGCATGACTTCCTGGAAGTCATGTTTGATCCCAGCAGGCAGGAATGGCCCAGGGATGGAAGCTGCAGTTGTTCCTCCGTGCTGAGGCTGTGAGGGTTTTTCTTCCCTCACCTTTTCTTTGTGTTCATCTGAGACTCTAAATTCCTCCTGAGGTGTGGGTGGAGTTCTGAAGGAGCTGGTGGCTTCCAGGAGGAGAGACCATTCCCACTGCACCACTTCCAGCTGAGGGAAAACCTGGGCTGTACCTGCCCCTTCCCTGTGCGGGTT